ACAGAAGACCAACTAGAAAGGGCACATTTGGGTGGCAAGAAGGCTCTCTTGCTTGTGACAGCTCCAAGGTCCTCATTCTCCCTCCACCGCTTGCCAGACTAGGAAACTGTCGAGTCTTTCCATAGGCAAAATGGAAACAGTAATCACCTCCCATAGGCTTGTTATGGGAAACAGACGAAACCAACTGCCTTGGCGTTTCGTGCTGAAAAGCAAAATTATCAACAATTTTGAGCCTACACCAAAATTTGATTTTGTTCATGAGAGAACTGGCAAGGAAGATTTTTCTTTTAAAAGGTGGTTTGAATAATATTTGGGAATAGACAAAGACAGTCAGAAAAGGAATGCCTAAGTAAGATTCTTAAGTTACATGTAAGAATTTTTTTTTTTATAAAGAGAGAGACAGAGAGAGAGAGAGAATTTTAATACTTATTATTTATGTTTTTTAGTTCTCGGCGGACACAACATCTTTGTTGTTATGTGGTGCTGAGGATCGAACCCGGGCCGCACGCATGCCAGGCGAGCACGCTACCGCTTGAGCCACATCCCCAGCCCAAGACTTTTTAGCTCTTAATGGGGTGATAGAAAGCATGACAGTTTGGGGTTTAGCGTCTTGACCAGGCTGCACACCCCTATTACCCTGTCTAGCAAATAAAAACTATCTCCTCCTTTTTCTGTGGTGAACTGCTAATCAAACATGCTGTGCTGACCACGATTCTCAAGTGTCAGGTCATGATAAGTATCAAGACCTACTTTCATCCAGACAAACTCTGACATGAGATTGAAAACCCAAGCGATCACCATGTTGTCTTTCTCCAGGTTTGAAATTCTGTTTCACTGTCACACACACATACAGCTGGAGCCCGATCGGCATAGGGAGCTTCCTCTCCCCTCTTCAGCCTGTTTCAATTTAGATGGAAATCCCTACGTCAGGACAACCAGAAAGTGGGCTGGGACCTGGCCCCAAGCAAAATGGCTCGGTCCCCGAGTAGAGAATGTATGGGGAACTCTTTTCCATTGGGATAAGCTCTTTTGCTCCACTACCAGAGACCAACTGCCCAGTTCCAGATCCTCTCCGTGCCCAGGAGGCTGAGGCAGGAGAATCGTGAGTTCAGAGCCAGCCTCAGCAAAAGCAAGGCGCTAAGCAACTCAGTGAGACCCTGTCTCTAAATAAAATACAAAATAGACCTGGGGACACGGCTTGGTGGTCAAGTGCCCCTGAGTTCAATCCCTGGCACACACGCGCACACAAACACACAAGAGCCTTAGGTGGAGAACCGGGATGGAGAAGCAAGATTTCAGACAATGTCATCCTTTCAATCTCCGGAAGTCTCCATGGCCGGATCTGCCTCAATTGGTGAGCCAAGGTCTATTTTGTGGGCTCAAACGTTGCACGAGTTTTCCTGCCAAACTACTGTTTCTCAACTTCCCGCTGCCTTGTTCTTCTTTGTCAGCTGGGGGAACGGGAAACCAGATCACCTTGCTCTGGGCCACAAACCCTGTCTGACTCTGCCCAGTGGTTCCTGTAATAGGCACCGTCTTGTTTGTCAGTGATAATCTCCAAACCTGCCTCCTCCGTGAAGCTTCTAAAAACTGCCCCCCTCACCTCCTCTTTCTCCAAGCTCCCAGAGCCACTTGGGCCACCTTCTCTGCCCAACCATAAGCTCAGGAACCAACTGTTGGTAGATGGGTGTTCTTTACAACCAGAGCCCATCACTTAGGGTAAAACTCCACAGAGCACTGGGCCACCTCCCCAGGGTTCCCCTGGATGGGCTCAGAAAAGGCAGACCCACAGGCATTCCAACCAAAGGCAGACATTATCGATGATATAAATTCTAACAAAGACTCCGCGAAACCACGAAGTCCCACGTCTTCAATTCTGTGAATATTTCAATGAAATTTACCCAGGTGCATTAAAATAAGTTGGAAATAATAATCTAGAGTATATACATATTACTGTATCAATATCACCATATTATAGTGTGATAATATTCTTATTGATATTATTTTTAAAAATTTTTTTGTAGTTGTAGATGGACAGAATGCCTTTATTTTATGTGTTTATTTTTAAGTGGTGCTGAGGATCGAGCCCAGTGCCTCCCGCATGCGAGGCAAGCGCTCTGCCGCTGAGCTACAGCCCCAGCCCCTGGTTGATATTATGATATAATCATACAATATTTTATGTACTGTATTTAAGGTAGTTTTGGTGTTCCACACCTGGGACAATGGGACAAAATGGGTTAATGGCAAGTCCAACTGTGCATTTTTATGGGCAATCAAAGGCACTAGGATATGTTACCCCCCACTTCAACCCTGACACACACACAACCCATCACCACCGCCATCAGCGTAGGTAACTAAGAGGCAGAACCGGTGTACTCTCCCCTGCTGTATTCCTGAATTCTCTCTGCACCCACTAACCACCCCCCCCCTCAGCCTCCAGCAACGCCTGGGATGTGGTTAGGTGACCCTGGGACCCTTCTCATCTTTCTTGGCCTGAGCCACATTTGGGCCAGCTGCTCGCCTTTGCACTACAAATTGGAGAAAATTATGGCGAGATCCCTGCGGTGCCTCTCAGAGCGGCAGAATCCGTGTTTCCATCTTGCGAGTGCGTTCCAGTCTCACTGGCTTGAGAGTGATCAAAGATATTCTTCCACAAAACCAAGAAGAAAACCGTTTTTCCCTGGGCCCCCACTCACCTGGCAGGAGCCATCTTCACGTTCTGTGATTGGATTCCCACCCGGCTCAGGTCTCCATCTCCACCTCAGCTGGCTTCCAACCCTTGTCACTCATATGCCACCATCATAAAATGGGCAGGTAAATGAAAGCCTTAGTGAATAGAGTTAACCTGCCACCTTTCCCTCTCCTCTGCATTTTAATATGACCCAGTTTACTACAAACAAAAAGCCAAAGTTCCTAAATCATCTGTTGGATCCTCTGCCGTTCGGTGCGGAATTTGTCACACCTGCCCTGGGAGACTCAGGGTAAATCCCTTCACCTTTCTGCGCCTCCGCTTCCTCACCTGTCCAGGGGCAGTTCCACTCCCATCTTCCTCGTAGGCATGCCCTGAAGTTACTTTTCAAAATTTATTTTTTTTAACTTATGGGTTCTTCTTAGTAATGCATGACAGCAGCATCCATTTTGACAGAATTCCTCAAGCAGGGAATACGCCTTATTCTGATTCTGACCCAGTACCCCTCCTCTCCCTTCCCTTTCCCCACACCTGCCCCCTTCCCTCTGTTGATCCATTTACCCGTGGTCTTTTTTTTTTTTTTTTTTTTTTTTTGACTAATTTCTTGTGGATGGACTTGATGGAGAGATTCCCTGGGGTGTTCCTGTGTGTTCCTAGGAAAGTCACGTCAGCTTCATTCCGCGGCCTCCTTTTCTCCGAGGTTCTTATGAGACAAAATGGAGGTGGCTTACACTGTGACAGGAGAATCACGCCACAGATCCTCAGCCGTGGAAGCAGGGAACGGGACTGGCATTGTGGTAGTGGTGGGGAGGGGTCCGTCCCTCCTAAAATCCTGGAGAATTGGCCACCTCCCCCTCTCCTCTTCAGCCTGGGGCGCACCCAGCTCCTCCAAGAGCCCTCCCTCTCTCCAGCCCAGAGCTGCCTTCCTTCCTCTGGCCCAGAAGAAGCACCCCAGAGAGGGGGCAAGGCCCTGCTGGGTTCAGGCCCTGGCTCAGCGCCTTGAGGTCCCAGTGCACAGGACCTCAAGCCACCTCACCCCCCCGGGGCAGGATGGTCATGAGGGGTGCCAGCAACAGGAGAGGAACTGACCCGGCTGATGACACCTCGTGTCCCACAGAGTCCCACCACCCACCCCAAACACAGCACCAGAGAAATACCCCACCCTTCATCCCTGAAAACCAGCAGCCAGGCCCTAGGTTTTGCCTTTCTGGGGTCTTTGGGCCCTTTGGAGAGTCTGATGGAGCCACAGAGGCATGTCCCCCTGCACACACCCTCCAAGGCCCCTCCAGAGATGCGCGGACTGGCTGAGTTAAGGACCCTGGTTTAGAGATTGGGCGGCAGCTCCCCACCGTGTTCCCCATCACTGACCTCAGTGCCCCAGCCCCCAGGCGGGGACATCAGCAAGTTTCCCAAGCCACAACTTGGAAATCCAGCTCAAGAGTCAACTCTGCTCAGAGGTACCCGTTCCTCTCTGTCCCTCCCTTTTAACCCACCTTGGAAAAAATCCACAGATGAATGGTTGGGGAATTTATTTTAGATGATTCACAGGTCACCAGAGAGTAAAATCCCACAGAGCAGCATTTGAATAACCTGTTTCTTGAGTTGGATTTTATTAATGGATTAGCCTGTCTGCCCCTTCCTGTATCATTTAATTGAGTTGGGAGGTTGGAAGTGAAAAGGGAGGAAAATCTTCCCCAGATCCCTAAAGTCAAACTACAGATGTGGGACCAGGGATCTCTCCTCGTGCTGTTAAGGCAAGAACCTAAACAGTATCCGCGAGCGGTCATAGAATCAGCCTCTCTCTCTCTCTCTCTCTCTCTCTCTCTCTCTCTC